GATGGAATTTTTCTCCCTTTCCAGTTTTTTGCTATAAGCATCCTGGCAGCTGTTGTTGCATAAAGGAATACTTTCCTTTGATTGTCGGGAATATCGTTTGTGATTAAACCTAAAAGGAATGCCTCCGGTTTTTTACTGAAAGACATTTTAAACATCTTTTTGAGTTCTTCATAAATTTCATTCCAGAATTGTTTAATAGATCGGCATTCCCACCACATGTGAAACATTGTTCCTATTTCTTTTTTGCATCTCCAACAGGTGTTTGATTTGAATTTGTAAATTTTAGCCAATTTTACCGGAGTTAAGTACCATTGGTACACCATTTTCATGAAATTTTCTCTGATTGTATAACATGCCATGAATTTAATATCATATTTCCATAATTTCTCCAATTGGTTCAGCCAAATTACATATCCTATATCACATGCCCATTTAGTCATAACTTCTTTTACTTCTTCATCCTTTAATTCCCATTCTAATAATAAATTATACATTTTGGATATATTCTTTTTTGAGTTTTGTAATAATACTTTTTGTAATTTTGATTCTTCTTTTTCAAATCCTATTACTTTATCCTGATTGAATATTTGTGCAATTTGGTGATATTGTAACCATGTGGTACAGTATTGGGTCACCTCTTTGTATGGTCTTAGTTTTAATTGGCCCTGTTCCTCCTTCAGGAGCTGCTGGTATGTCGCCATTCTTCCTATAGTATTTTTCTTTTTAACCGATATTACTTCTAACGGTGAGACCCACCATGGGGTTTTCGGTTCTAACAACCTTCTATGTCTCACCCAGACCTTGTATAATGCATTTCTAATTACATGGCTTAGAAATTCTTTATGTACTGCCACTTTGTTATAAATCAGATAGGCATGCCAACTGTATCTGTTGTTCCATCCCTCCAAGTCTAGAATGTCACTATTATCTAACTTAATCCAATCTCTGATCCAAGTAAAGCATGCCGCATCGTAATATAGTCTCAGGTCTGGGAGTCCAAAACCTCCCCACTCTTTTATGTCAGTTAATAATTTGTGTTAGATCCGTGGCTTTTTGCCTTGCCATATAAACTTTGTTAGGTCCGTTTTCCATTTTTTAAAACAATCATCTTTACCTATTATGGGAATCATTTGAAAAAGGAACAGGAGTTTTGGTAAGATTCATTTTAATAGCCGAAATTCTACCCCAGAGTGTTAAATTCAATCTTGTCCAAATTTCCATTTCTCTTTTTGTTTCTTCCCAATTTTTTTTATAATTATCTTCAAACAAATTTATATTTTTCATTGTTATTTGGATTCCTAAATATTTCACCTTTTTTACAATTTGTAATCCAAATTTTTCTACCAGTTCCTTTTTCTCTTGATCTCCCATGTTTTTTACCATTAGTTTCATTTTTTCTTTATTCAAAGCAAAACCTGAAACCCTTCCAAAGTTTTCCATTTTTTCTAGAGCCTTTGCGATGCTTTCCTTTGGATTTTCCACCATTAAATCATCTGCAAATGCCCTTATTTTGTATATTTTCTCCCCTAGGGATATTCCATTTATTTCTTGATCCTGTCTGATTTCTTGATTTAGTATTTCCAAAACCAAAATGAATAATAATGGTGAAAGTGAGCACCCTTATCTGGTGCCCTTCTGTATTTTAAAATAATCAGTCGTGTCATTATTTATTATTATATTTGCTTCTTGTTGTTCATAAATTGCTTTTATCCCTCTTGTAATTTGGTCTCCCATGTCCATTTGGTCTAATAATATTTTTAGAAATTTCCATGAAACTTTGTCAAACGCCTTTTCCAAGTCTACAAATACAAAGGCTACCTTCTTACTCAGTTTCATGTTCTTATATTATCATTCATTTTCCTGCCCGGCAAGAACCCTGCCTGCTCTTTGTTTATACAATCCTGCAAAACTGTCTTTAATCTTGTTGCCAATATTTGTGCATAGATCTTGTAATCATTATTTAGTAATGAGATTGGTCTATAATTGGTTATGAACTCTTTATTTGTCCTTGTTTCGGGATTACTACTATGTGAGCCTGCTTCCAGGTATTGGGAATCTTCCCGTCTTCTAGTATTCTATTTAAGAGTGTCTTCATAGGTGATAATAGTGATTCCTCTAATTTTTTATAATGTATTGCTGTAAGACCATCTGGACCTGGGGATTTTCCCAGTTTCATCTTAGTTATCGCTTGATGAAGCTCTGTCATGGTTATTGGGGAGTTTAGATCTTGAATCTTTTCTTTCTTAATTTTAGGTATATCCTTTCCACATAAATACTCTTTTATTTCATCCTCTGTCTCATTTCCTGCTTTATATAGCTTATTATAATATTTTATAAAGCACTTATTAACTTCCTCAGGATTATCTAAAGTTCTACCTTCTTCCACTATTTTATCAATCAGTTTTTCCTTTTGTCTCTTTTTCAATTGCCAGGCTAGCATCTTTCTGGGTTTATTTGCGAATTCAAACAACCTTTGTTTCATCCATTTAATATTATCCTCAATTTCACTATTTAATATTGCTGAAGCCTGGGTTTGTAATATTTTTAGTTTTTGATTTATTAATTCATTTTTTGGTTGTTTTAATAATTTTTCATTTATTCCTATTTCTTTCCTTAATTGTTCTAGTTTTTCTCTCTGTTTCTTTTCCCTATTGCACTTTGTTGTATGTAAAAGCCTCTTATGAAAGCTTTACTTGCATCCCATATTGTCCTGATGTCTGTATCCTGTTCTTTATTTAATCCAAAAAATTCTTTCATTAGTTCTTACACTTTTTTCACAATCTTTTCGTCATTTAATATTCTTTCATTAAGTCTCCATCTTTTATTAGTTTTCTTATATTCCTTTAATTCTAATGTGACTGGGTTGTGATCTGTAATAATTTTGGTCTGTATTTCTGCTTTTTTAATTTTAGTTGTTAAGTTATTTGATACCCATATGCCATCAATTCTGCCGGCTGGTTTTTTTACTTCCGAGAAATGTGTATACTGTCTTTCTCCTGGGTTTTTATATCTCCATATGTCAATCAAATTTAAGCTTTCTACCATCTGAAAGAAGGTGTCTGGGAATCTGCCTTTTTTTTATTTTCTTTCTCTCTGTGTCCTATCTAATTCTATTAATGTAACACCATTTAGGTCTCCCATCAAAATAATCTCCTCTTCTATAAATTCCAGTAAATTAGCTTCTACGTTTCTGAAAAAATCTGTTTTGTTACCATTTGGTGCATAAACTCCTACTATAATTAAATGTTCTTTACCTTTTGTTATTTTTACCCCTAGTAATCTACCCTCGTCATCCTTGAAGATATTTTTTGTGTCTAGTTTGGGGTTCATGGCTCCCATTCAGTCTTTTCTTTTTAAAATCCACTCAAGGCATCAAGGCAAATGTCAAAACCAAACCTCTTGGAATAGCCCACACTTTTGGAAGTTGTGCTGCTCTTCTGTGCTTTTTTTGTCCTTAAGTCAGATTTTATGAGGTCTAAAAAGACCCAGAAACAACATACGGAAAACATAGCCAGTCAGTGATTTGATTAGCACTGCACAGATGACCCATAAAAAGAGAGTAAAACAGAGAGTGGTGATTCCACAGCAAACCCCTCAGGTGGTTTCTGGAAAGGGTTTAATATTGCAAACATATCGTTCAAATATTGCAACTGGTGTACTGGCATTTTTTAAATTTTTCAATCAGAATCCCCCTAGAATGAATAAATACAGATTAGATTTTTTGAAAGGCACACAATGTTGTGTGGACCTTGAAAATAAACACACATGGATGAGGAGCACAGGTTTCACCACAAAGCCCTGTCTGGAAGGCAGCTGGGGAAGTGGAAGGGCTGGCAGAGCAATCCTGTGCCAGATGTCTGCCAAAGCAAGGCCAACCCCTTTCCGTTGGGTCAGCAGCTGGACAGGCAGCGCATCTAAGCTGTGACGCTGAGCCTGGGCTACAGAGGGTGGGCGAAGAACCCATGGCAACTTCTGCTTTCATGTTACTTCTGTTTTTGCCCTTGGTTCAAGAAACTGTAAGTGGAAAACAAGGCTTGAGAAAAAGAGAAGAGAAGACAGGGAACTAAGGCAATGAAAGAGTGAGCAGAGATGGCGGCTCTGAAGAAACCCTGCAGTGTGTAAGATATGGGGGGCTGTATGCTGTGGGGCAGGTGAGGGGGTGAGGGAGACAGGTCCACATACAGAGTGATTAGAGGAGTATGTGGTGGCCTAAAAAGAAAACAATGGCAGATGGGGACGTGGCAAATGATGGAATGAGGAGCCAAAGAGAAGCTAGGAATGGAGCAAAACGACACGAGGCTCAGAGACAGAAGGCATGGTGCAGCCTTGGCATGCAGGAAGGATCAGGCAGAGGAGAGCCAGTGGGGCAGACTGAAGGTTGCTGCCTTCAGAGGGGAACCCTGCCAGTTGCAACTTCTTCTTCTGCTGCTGCTGCTGCTGCAGCAGCAGCATTTGCAGCCCTTAAGGAGGACAACAAGAATCAGGAAGCAGAGACAGGGACTTGATTTCATATATAGATTTGAGCCATTCAGATGGCTTGACTGCACATTCCTAATATTAAGTCAAAGCTTTTGAAACTCACGTAGTTCAGATACTTGGACTGTTTCACAAGGAAAACCAAAACTCTTGTACATATTGACCTTATGTCTCTTAAACTTTAGATAAAAATAAATTGCAGTACATTGTATTTCATTATGCAGTGCCCTTTTACAACGCTTCATAGACGTAAGCTAAGGTTACCAGACGTCCCCGTTTCCTGGGGACAGTCCCTGTATTTACAAATCAGTCCCTTGACAAAATCCCGTGAAGTTGAAAAGTATCCCCAGATTCATTGAAAAAAATCTGGTAACCTTAATGTAAGCAGCTGATGTGATTGTGTTCCTCAGCAGCCCTCTCCTGACCTTGGAGCAGTTTCATTTCACAGCCTTTGTGGGGTTTTGAGCCAGAGGAGAGTTCCTCCTCCTACGTCAGTTTCGCTCAATGTGTCTCTTCTTCTACAGCCCAGACTGTGATGAAATACAAACTCCACCCCTTGTTAAAGAAGGTAACCTCCAAGCCTATAAATATCTTTCCCATGGCTCAGGGCTACTAACTTCTGGAGACGTTTTTAAGGAGTTCCAGTAAGCACAGGCTGGCTGGAGCTTCTGCCATGGAGGCGCTGGCTTTCACAGAGGGGCCCAACCCTCACAGTGACCCCCAAACAGCAAGAAACTATAGGATTACCCTGTGTCTTGCAGCATGTTTGGTCATCTTGATGCTGGTTTTACTTCCATTTTCTATTGCCTGCATTCTTCTCCATCACAAACAGGTAAGCATATAACAAACCTCTAGAGAAAGATTTATTTAAAACATTTTCCTCCTACTCTTCAGCTGAGAAAGCTCCCAGAGTGAGATCATTAACAAATAAGCCAGTCGCTGCCCTCAGGTTTACAACCACAAGACAGCAGAAAAGGCGAGGGGGGGAGGGGGCAAGCAAACAGGGGCTCCAGTTCTTGCGAGTTACAAAGTTCTTGCGAGGATCCCCTTGAGGGAGAAGCGCCCAGAGGGGTGAGTGCTAAGGGGGTGCCCCCCAGTTCTCATCTATGATGCTGCTGCTGCAGCCCAATGGAACGACTGATGTTAGTATATCGATGATTTGTATTAATTAGTAGTTGTAACAATTTTATGTCTATGGTAACTTTATGGGAAATACAATACTGGAACTTTGCAGCATTGGTCTAGTGGAATTTTAAGGAAGAGCCAGTGCAAAATAGTTATTAGACTGCTATGACTCAGGAGACCCCAGGTCATAAAGTCACGAAACATCTTTGGGGCCATTCATGCGCCCCAGGCCCTTGTGGCGTGGATAAAATGGGGAAGGGGAGAAACCATACCTGCCTCCTAAAGCTCCTTGGGAGGTGGGATAGAAGAGGCATCAATGAATCTCTGCCCTGCGGCAGGGGGGTGCTTTTCTGCCCATGGCCCAGGTGTTACCGACAGGTGGTGTCTGAAGGAAAAGTGGGTGAAGCAACAGGTGTGGGTCTTGCCTTCAGTGGCGAAGCAAGCCGCTCAGGCGCCTGGGGTGGCATGACCAGGGGCGGGGCGAGGTGCCCATAGGGACGGGGCACACTGTGGAGCCTCCGGAGTCTGCCTGCCTCCTCCCACTCAGCCGTCCTGCAGCTGGGGGGGGGGGAGCAGCGGGCAGACTGTTTGGGCAGTGCAGAGCCTGCACGCACCCAAGCCACCGTGTCTCTCTCAGGAGAGACATGTGGCTCGGGCACGCTGCAGGCCCCGTAGTGAGTGTTGCCTGGCATTTTGTCACCCCCCTCAGTGGTGACACCCGGGGCAGCCCACCTCCACCGCACCCCCCTTCCTCCACCCTGCTTACCTTTTCACAGCAGGCTCCCCTCCAGCCACTCAAGCATACTAGATGCCCCCACCGCTCTATCGTAGAACCGGGCGACAATGCCAACCAGGCAAAAAAAAAACCCTCAGGTTGTCTGGAGAGTGTGGCCTGGCAAGAGGGTGTGAGGCCTGGAAAGAGTGTCAAGGGCCAGGTATAGGGGCCTGGAGGGAAATAGTTGGCCCCAGAACTGAGGTTCCCCATCTGTGCTCTATGAGATGTTATTTTTAGTTCCTCCTTGTCCATGGTCAGAGGAGCTGTGACAAAGCACTGTGGCTTCCACTAATAGCACAAATCACAGAATCATAGAATTATAGAGCTGGAAGAGCCCCTGAGAATCATCTAGTCCAACCCCCTGCAGTGCAGGAATATGCAGCTGTCCCATACAGGGATCGAACCTGCAACCTTGGCGTTATCAGCACCAGACTCTGGCACACCCTGCTACCCTGCTCACGAGGTGCAGTTCCATGACAATTGTTCATCAGGTCAGGGTGGCGGGGGAAGCCAGCCAGTCAGAACTCTGAGTTCTTTAAGAAAAGTAGTCTATTATTTATATGGGTCTTATGAGGATTCAAGCAGAGGTACTGGCGTAAACGAGCATCCCACCGCAAATCGTTGCAAGCAGAATAATCATGTGCCTGGCTCAGGAATGAGGTTGAAATTCAATTTGGTTCACATTTGCCTGGTTTGCACTTTCAGAAACAATATGCAAAGTGAAATGGTCATCTGTCAAGATTCTCCCTTTGCCAGTTCTCCAGCCCAGCAATGTGTACAAAAATGCAAGCACAAAGGTAAAGCTTGCATCCTTATTCAAGTATAATAATGAAGATCTGAAGAAGAAGGAACTGATGACTCGTTTCCTTTTTGCTTCATGAGGAACAATAGCTAAATACTGGGGGAAATTCAGTTTATGACTCTAGAATATGGGTACACTAGTGGCCAAAATTGTGGAAACATTTTGGGAAAAGTGTATTTCCAAGGTTTGATGGCTCATAACACCACTTCTTCTTTTTTAGTAATACCGTAAAATATCAATGGAATGAAGAATGTAATGTAACAAAGTTTGTTGAATTATCTGTATTCTATCAAAAGTTATAGCCAAAGAACCAGAAAAAGGAAGCACAACTTGCTTAGGTTGATATGCAGTAGCTTTCCTTCATTTGAATGTAGCCAATGAGCACGAGTGTTTAGAGAGCCAATCGGGTGTCATCTTGTTTTGGCAATGATTCAGTCAGGTCACGGTAGGATTCAGCTACTGATGGTATGTACTAGAGCTGTGAGGACATTGGTCAGTGTGTTGTGTGATTGCTATCAAGTTGGTTGGATTTTTTGTGTTCTTTCATTTAGTGAGCTTGTAAAACATAATAAATAACTTTAAAGAAATGGCGCAAAGAGTTGACTGGTCACCCAGAAAGTGAAGTAAAATAGTACAATTAAGTGAACAAAGCTAAACTTATAAAGAAATTAGAAGAAAAAATGGTGGAAACTTAACCAAAGGTGGCATTTCTAATTTTTTGAAGAGGTATAAGGAGACTCAGTCACTACAAAATCAGACTGGTAAAGGCAGCAAAAGGTGCACAACAGCAAGTGATGATAGAGGAATTGAGAGACTGTGCCCACGTGACAGAAGAAAATCATCTGAGTGTATACAAGATGACATGGCGTGATGTAATGTGAAGTTGAGTGCAAGGACAGTTCGGTGCAGACTGCAGGAATATGGTCTAAATGCTAGAATTCCAAGGGAAAAGCCATTGCTATCTCTCAAACAAAGGTTGAAAAGGCTAAACTGGGCTAAACCCATGTTAACTGGACAGTGGAACAATAGGACAGTGTTATTTGGAGTGATGAGACCAAAATCTCTTTGCTCGGTTGTGAAATATGTGAGAAGAATTGCAGAAGATTTACATCTTCCTTTTATTAAGATAAAGGTAAAGGACTCCTGGATGGTTAAGTCCCGTTGAATTTGACTCTGGGGTTGCGGCGCTCATCTCGCTTTCAGGCCAAGGGAGCCGGCGTTTGTCCACAGACAGCTTTCCGGGTCATGCGGCCAGCAGAACTAAACCGCTTCTGGCACAACGGGACACCGTGACGGAAGCCAGAGTGCATGGAAACGCAGTTTACCTTGCCACCACAGCACAACTGTGTGGAAATGATTTTTGAATTTGCAATTACCTTCAACGGATTGATAAAAACAGAAGATGGAAATTATTGTTTCTAGCTAAAGGACAGCTTATTTGTCTTGGAAAGGAGATAAAACAAATACGTTTGGACATATGCTTGTTACAAATGGCAGAAAGCCAGATTTCCTCCATTTTGGGATGTGCCACAGTGGAAAATCACAGACATGAGAAAAGTGAAAGTGAAATGCCACGGACAGGAAAATAAACACCCACACAGAAATATATTATATTGGTCTAACCTGCTTGCCAGACGAACTAACGAAGGATCACCATCAGATTGTCCTATTGGAATTACCTGGACTAATTAAAGAGAAGCAGTACAAATATGAGATCATCATCATCCCCCGAACCTCAGAGCACGGGAAGTCAACCAAAGATTTATAATTTGGCATAAAATTTGGACTGTTTGTTAATTTTATAATTTGGAATGTTTTTAATGTGGTTTTAATTAGATTGTTAAAATGGAAAACTTAATAAATATTATTATATAAAAAATAAAAAAATAAAACAAATTCAGAGAAAGCTATTACCGTATTTTTCGCTCTATAGGACGTACAGGACCATAGGACGCACCTTGTTTTAGAGGGGGAGAACAAGAAAAAAAAAATCTCCCCCTCTCTGCCCAGTGCCCCTTCAGCGAAGCGGCAGGAGGCGCTGTGCAGAGAGGGGGAGAATTCCCCCTTGTTCTCCCCCTCTAAAACAAGGTGCCCTTCAAGGTGCGTTCAGTCGCCTACAGGCGGCTACCTTGGAAGCCTGGAGAGCGAGAGGGGTCGGTGCGCACCAACCTCTCGCTCTCCAGGCTTCAGGTTCCTTTTGACCTGCTCTTTGGGGCTGGCGGTGGGAAGCCCACCGCCAGCCCCAAAGAGCAGGTTGGGGAGCAGCGGAAAGGCACGCAGCCTTCTGCTGCTCCCCGAGCTTGTGGGGCTGGCGTGGGGGGAAGCGCTGCTTTCCCCCACCGCCAGCCCCAAAGAGCAGGTTGGGGAGCAGCGGAAAGGCATGCAGCCTTCCCGCTGCTCCGCAAGCTTCTCGGGGCTGCCAGGGAAGCCCGGGGCTATGGCTTCTTTAGCCCCGTGCACCCTCTCCCGGCTGGAGAGGTGGCGCACGACTAAAGAGGAAGCCAAGACACCGAGCAGGATGCTTCCCGCTTGCTGTCTATGCTTCCCACTCACTGTCTTGGCTTCTGCCATAGCCGCTCTCCAGCCGGGAGAGGCTGCCCGCGTCTATGGCAATACCCCCACCTCCCGCAAAAGCCCACAGGAGCCCTTTAAGGAGTGTGCGGCTTCTATGGGCTTTTCTACGAGGAGGCAGAAGGGACTGATTGGCCACGTCAGTCCCTTCTCCCTCCTGAGGAAAAGCCCGCAAGAGCCGCGCGGAGTTTGTGTGTGGCTTTTGGGGGCTTTTTCTGCCTGCCTCCCCCCTGCATTCGCTCCATAGGACGCACACACATTTCCCCTTCATTTTTGGAGGGGAAAAAGTGCACCCTATAGAGCGAAAAACACAGTAATTAAAAATGTCTCGTATTAGTGAAAATAATATACAAAATGCATTACATTACAAGTAATTGCATAGGAAAATGTCTGTTAGGAGAAATTCGCACTAAGAAGCTGATCAATTCTCAAGATGACTTTTAAAAATTAATTCACAGACTGATGTGGAAATGATTGGATAAATGAGAAAGATACTTTTTATAATAATAATATTTGAATTATTATTATTTGTTTATGTATTTTTAATAATCTTTATTAGTTTTGCACATAAACACATATACATAGATAACAAGCCATACAAAGCAAAAGTAACGAAAGTAAAGAAAAAAAGAAAGAAAGGAAAATACAATATATTTCAATTAAGTAACAAGTTAAAATGTAAAACTTCCAATCATTCTCATTATACTACTTATATTGTCTATGTTTTCTCGCACAGATTTATATTATTTCACATTATTTTTATATATTCCGATAAGATATCTGATACACTTTTTGCTTACAAGTATCAATCTAGTTCTGCAAGTATGTTGTTGTTTGTACAATACAATTTTAAATATTCCTTAAATATTTTCCATTCTGCATATACTTTCTGGTTTGAAACTCCTCTGACTCTTCCTGTCAGTTTTGCTAGTTGCAGGTACTCTGTCATAAGAGTCTGCCACTCTGTTATCGTTGGTAGTGTTTCATTTTTCCAGTTTCTTGACACTATTATTCTAGCTGCTGTGATTGCATCCATAAACAATGGTCTTATACTTTTTTAAAATTCTATTGGTAGTATAGCTAATAGGAAGATCTCTGGGGGTTTTTTAAATGTAAATTTAAACAACTTTTTCAGTTCGCTGTAGATGTTGTTCCAAAATTCAGGGATAACCAGACATTTCTACCACATATGAAAATATGACTCTATGTCCTTTTTGCATCTCCAGTATGTTGGCGACCTGCCTTTATACATTTTAGCGAGTTTTAAAGGGGTGTGATGCCATCTGTATAACATCTTCATAGTGGTTTCCCTGAGGTAGCATGCCCTGAATTTAATATCTGTCCTCCACAATCTTTCCCATTGTTCCATGTAGATATTGTATCCAAGGTCCTGCACCCACCTTACCATTACTAGTTTAACTTCTTCCTCTTTTACTTCCCATTCTAATAAGTAGTCATAAATTCGTGAAATGTGTTTTCCTTTATTGTGGGTTAACGCTTTTTCAAATTTGGATGTTTCTTTTGCAAGACCTTCTTTCTTATCTATACACAATCTTTGGTTTAACTGAAAATATTGGAGCCAATTCGACAGGTGGCTTTTGATTTCATCATATTTCTTCAAAGTTGGCTCATCTTTATCCGCTTCTAGTAATAATCGGTACGTGGGCAACTCTCGTTTCATATTCCTCTTTTTAACTGCTATGACTTCTGCGGGTGAGGTCCACATTGGTATCTTTGGCTTCAGTAATCCTTTATATTTAATCCATATCTTATAAAATGATTTTCTTATCACATGGCTCAAAAACCCCTTGTGGACCTTCACTTTTTCATACATTAAGTAAGCGTGCCATCTGTACCGATTGTCATGGCCTTCAAGATCTAACACATCGGTATCTTTTAAATCGATCCATTCTTTTAGCCATACCAATCCTGCAGTTGCATGGTATAATTCTAGGTCTGGAAACGCAAAGCCTCCTCTCTCTTTTTTATCTATTAGTAATTGGTGTTTAATTCTCGGTTTCTTTCCGTTCCAAACAAATCTTGCTATTTCCTCTTTCCATTCTTGGAAACATTTCAATCTTCCCAGCATTGGTATTGTTTGGAACAAAAAAAACATTCTGGGAAGAATATTCATTTTCACTGCTGAGATTCTTCCCCAAAGATATTTTTTTAAAAAGATCTTTCCAGGATTTAATGTAGTTGTCTTCATACAGGTTTATACTTTTGGTTCATATCCAGATCCCCAGATATTTAACCTTATTATTAATTATTTAACCTTATTATTAATTTCCAGGCCTGTTCTTTCTTATAATTCTCTTTTCTCTTCCCGTGTTAAGTTTTTGGTCATTATTCTTCCATATTTTCTTTTGTTGTTGTTTAGTCATTTAGTCGTGTCCAACTCTTCGTGACCCCCTGGACCAGAGCACGCCAGGCACTCCTGTCTTCCACTGCCTCCCACAGTTTGGTCAAAATCATGCTGGTAGCTACGAGAACACTGTCCCACCATCTCGTCCTCTGTCATCCCCTTCTCCTTGTGCCCTCCATCTGTCCCAGCATCAGGGTCTTTTCCAGGAGGTCTTCTCTTCTCAGGAGGTGGCCAAAGTCTTGGAGCCTCAGCTTCTGGATCTGTCTTTCCAGTGAGCACTCAGGGCTGATTTCCTTAAGAATGGATAGGTTTGAACTTCTTGTAGTCCATGGGACTCTCAAGAGTCTCCTCCAGCACCATAATTCATATTTTACTAATTAGGTCTATAGCTGCTGGTATGCTTTGTTTCAGATCTTGTGTTGTTACAATTAGATCATCGGCGAATGCTCTAACTTTATAAGACTTTTCCCCAATCACTATTCCTTTTGTATTTTCGTCTTTCCTGATATTTTGTAAAAGTGGTTCTAGGGCTAATATAAATAACAGAGATGACAAAGGGCATCCCTGTTTTGTCTCTTTTGCGATGGGGATATTATCTGTAAGGTTGCCATTTATAAGAAGTCTAGCTCTTTGTTGGTGATATTTGCTTCAATTCCATTTCTAAATTTTGTTCCTAGTTCCATTATTTCTATCTGTTTTTTCATAAAATGCCAGGAGACATTGTTGAATGCCTTTTCCGTACTGAGTAATAACAAGGCTGCCTTTTTATCACTTTTAGCTACTAGATATTCCAAAATATCAACAATGTTTCTGGTATTTCCTGAAATTTGCCTTCCTGGGAGAAACCCCGTCTGGTTTGGGTGAATGATTCCTCTGATAGCTTCTTTAAGCCTGCTTGCCAATATATTGGCAAAGAGTTTATAATCACAGTTTAATAGTGATATTGGCCTGTGACTGGATATTAACTCTGGGTCACCTCCCTGTTTAGGTATTAGTGTTACATAGGCTTCTTTCCATGAGTTGGGGATTTTCCCTTGATTAAGGGTGTTATTCATTATTATCTTCCATTTTTTAATAGAATTCCACTGGGAGACCATCTGGGCCTGGTGTTTTCCCTGTTTTAGCCTTCTTGATTGCATTCCTGATTTCTAATGTTGATATCGGAGCATTAAACATTTGGACTTTCTCTTTTTTAACCTCTGGGGTTTTCTGTTGGGTTACATAATCTTCTACTTCTTCCCCTATGTCTACATTTTTAAAATACAAATCTTCATAACATTTAAGAAATTTTTGTAATATTAGTTTGGGATCACCTATTTTTATTCTGTTGATTTGTTTTTCCTTTTTCCTTTTTTGAGTTGTTTATGTGCAAATTCAAAATTGTTCTGTTTAAACATTTTCAGATTCCATTCAATTTCTTGTTCTATTTTCGACTTGTATTCTGCCTGTAATAATTTGATTTCTTTTTTTAATTTTTTCATTGTTTAGTTGTTTATTCAGCTCTTTTTCCTTTTCCTTTATTTCTTCTAACAATCCCATTTTCTCCTTATCGCTTTCTTTTCTTTGTAAGGCATTTAGTTTTATAAAGTATCCCCTAATAACCGCCTTGCCAGTGTCCCATATTGTTCCAACGTCACTCACTTGTTTATTATTTAATTCAAAACATTCCTTCAATGTATTTTTAGTACCCTCTACTATTTTTTCCTTTTTCAATAAAGATTCATTCAATTTCCATCTCCTTGTTCCTGTTCTCCAATCTGATTTTATTCTTAATAAGACCAGGTTATGGTCTAAGATTGTTTTTGGTATAATCTGTGACCCCGCAATCCTTTTAAGCATATCTATGGAAACCCATATGGAGTCCATCCTGCTAGCCGATTTATTTGGTTTGGAAAAATACGTATATTATCTCTCTAAAAGGTGAAGGTACCCCTGCCCGTACGGGCCAGTCTTGACAGACTCTAGGGTTGTGCACTCATCTCACTCTATAGGCCGGGAGCCAGCGCTGTCCGCAGACACTTCCGGGTCACGTGGCCAGCGTGACAAGCTGCATCTGGTGAGCCAGCGCAGCACACGGAACGCCGTTTACCTTCCCGCTGGTAAGCGGTCCCTATTTATCTACTTGCACCCGAGGGTGCTTTCGAACTGCTAGGTTGGCAGGCGCTGGGACCGAACGACAGGAGCGCACCCCACCGCGGGGATTCGAACCGCCGACCATGCGATCGGCAGATCCTAGGCGCTGAGGTTTAACCCACAGCGCCACCCGTGTCCCATTATCTCTCTAGCCCATGCTTATATCTCCAAGAGTCTTTTAAGTCAAAGCTTTCAGTCATATTCACAAAGCTAGACTGTAATTTCCCCTGTCCTTTATTCCCTCCAGATCTGTCTAGTTGTGGGTTTATTACCCCATTAAAGTCTCCGAGTAGTAATACTTTATCTTCCAGGTAATCCAACAGCTTTGTTTCTAAGTTCTTGAAAAAAGCTGCTTTTTTCTCATTGGGAGCATACATCCCTACTATAATAATTTATAGTATTATTATTATTATTATTATTATTATTATTATTATTATTATATTTGAATTTATACCCCTCCTTTTTCCCTGACAGGTACTCAAGGCAGCTTATGGACAAGCTCGCTCATCCTTCCTTCCCTCTGTGGCTGGGTACCCCCATCCCGAAGGGGACACAATTCAGCTTGGTGGCCAAGGGAGGGGGGAGGGTAGCAGGTGGCAGCAGCAGCTCTTTGGGGGAGGGGGAGGCCTGCTGGGGCTTCCCCTGATTACAGTGAAATGCTGCTCCCAAGATGGAACATGGTCTGCTGGCAGCTCCTTTTCCCACTGGAGTTGTTGCGCTGCTACAACTCATGAATGCTGGCTCTCAGTGATATTCATGCTGGCAGCATCTTCACAAACATCTGAGGAGGAGAGGCCTGCTGGGCTTCTCCCACCATCAGATGAGTTTCTGCTTGCCCCCGATACTCTGCCCTGGAACCCGAGATGAGTTTCTCTTCTTGGAGATGGGATAATGGGCAGCAGATAGAATTTTCAATCATTATCTCGGATATGTAAAACCTGCAAGGGTTTTGGGGCATTGGAACAAGCCTGATTCCTCTTCAGGTGAGTCTAAGCCTGTTTGCCCATCTCCATTTGCCACTAATACCAAGTACTGTTTACAAAAGATGAATTACGCTTTCTTTAGCTAAGAGCTGCTTTTATCTGAGAGCGAGAAACAGTTTGAATGCCGTGTTTGCAGATTTTCTCCCCCCCCCCCCGGAAGTCAAGTAGCATTTTAGCCCCACAGCAACATGTGAGGTAGGTTAGGCTGAGAGACTGTGACTTCGTGGCCAAATAGAGATTGGACCTGGGTGCCCCCATATGAAAGGAATACTTGAGTAATTACATAGTGAATTCCCAACTTTTCTTTTCTCCACAGTCACCCAAGACTTGCTGGATTCATGGATCTTGTAAGTACTCAGATCTGCTTGATATTTTTTTTAATTACCATCTTTTATTTATTTAAGACACCTCTATACTTCTTTTCATCAAATATGTCTCAGGGTAGTTAAAATGATGAAGGACAATTCTACTATTGTGATTACTATTCATCCATCCATTCAGTTTCATAATGGGATTGAGGAAAGCTGATTATTTCTTGAAGTTTGCTCTGCCCCCTTCACTGGTGCTGCCTATGCAAAAGCAAGGCATAAGGACTAATTCTGCACACACACAGGATCTGAGTGTGAGGTTGACTCAAAGTCTCCCTCATATGGAATGAACCTGAGGGAGTTGCAGGGCTGTTGCTGCACTGTCCTAACCGCCCCCACTGTGCGTGTTAGCCAGGCACCTCCTCCCTTGTGGGCTGGGGCTCTACATGCATACCACAGTATTGGTACTGAACTTCTCCACATCCAATTAGCCCAGGATCCCTCCCCTCATGTGCAGGAACTCCTTACACATACATCAGCGTGTTGGGCAATCGTCACATGGCTTGCAGAAGTAAAAAAAACATAAAACAGCTAGGGGGCCCTGCCTCCCCCCAAAAAATTAGCTCAGTGAAGGCTGAGCTTCCTCAGTAGCCACAGAATGCAGAAAGCTAGCTGGAAAAGAAACGTGGAAGTATCTAGGAGACAGAGATGACTGGTTAGAACACTGGAAAGGAGGCCTAGGAAGTGAGACTGTCGGATACCATTTTGCTGCACATAATAGTACAACAACAATAACCATTTTTTATACTTTGTTTTTGGTGTTCTTCTCCCCTGGTTTATGCCTGCAAGCTCCAGTCCCTTCTGACAAGACCATCCATTGGGAATGGAAACCCATTTGCCCTGGCTCTGCACTGACTGCAAGTCCCTCCTCACTGGAAATCTTGGAAAGTGGAATATATTTTGTCTATGCTTATGTGGCCCTTACGGAGGAGGCCTCGACTGAACATCGCTTTTCTGTTTACCTGATGGCCGACTCTCAAGTTCACAGTGTTTTCCAAGGGCCCAATGCTATGCTTGCATTTATAAACATGGGAAGGCCATATTTCCTGAAAAATGGAATAAAGTTGCACTTGGACATTAATGAAGGACTCACACATATTGACAGCAATAGAACATACTGGGGGATTTTAAAAATTTAACAAAGGCATCAACCTGTGTCAGCTTTTACTAAGTTGAAATAACTTGCAGAATTAATTCCTGAGGGGGATTCTGGATTTCTCAGCACTACACCAAGGCGTTTGCCCATGTTCCTGGAGGTCGGCTGGTTGCCCAGTCTTTGCCTTACATTTTCCAAGACCATATGCTTTGGCTTTGCTTCACTCCAGCCAACAGGCAGACTAGATCTTCTTGCACAAAGGAAGCAGAAACTGCAATACTTTGACTCATCCAAGACACATTTGCACCATTTAATTGAATATCCTGCCTAAACCAAAGATGGATGGAAGGTGAACCTAGATGTACTGGTAGATTTCTGGGTAATGTGCAGTAAATTTGCAAGAATCTCTGACTCCCAATTGTCTAACAGTCACAACAACTAAAAAGCCTCCACCCCACCCCCAAATTTAGGTTGCTGAGAGATAACATTGTGGGGAGGGAACCAGAAGGGGATTTTTGTTTGAAAGAACTTGTGAATGAACTTGTGATCACTATCATAACTAGCCTCATGAAGTCCTGAACTGAGCATATCCTTAGAGGTATTCCCTTCATTTAATTATTCATATATATATCTGCCTATCTTTTTAGGATAAAAAACACTGACTTGAATGTCATTGGGCTTCTTCACATGTTACATTTTCACAAATAAAAGCAGTAATTAACTCACATTTCTACCAAATCTAAATTTATACAAGTACCTTCTCTTTGAGATTTTTTAAATCTCTGGACTTCCCCCCCATACCCACTTCTGGTTCCTTATATTAACCCAATTCTTCTGCATTTCCATACTTACACTTTTCCAATTATTATTTCCCTTAATTTTATCTAATTTTCTACTAGTTGCATTTACTTAAAATCCTGCCAATGTATCAACTTGTTTACAGTATTATTTGCACATAAACAATAAACGATTCCCACTCTTGTTTAAGCTTCTCGTTCTCATAGTCTCTGAGCTTTGCCATTAATTTTGCCACTTCTGCATAGGCCATTAGCTTGATTTGCCATTCTTCTTTCGTTGGTGTCTTTTCTTCCTTCTATCCTTGGGCTAACAATATTTGTGCGGCTGTTGTAGCATACATAAATATTTTCTTCTGTTCTTTAAGAAGTTCAGTTCCTATCTGTTAAGTTGTGGGTGAACATATCAGACGACACAGCAATTCTTCAGACAGCTCTTGTTTATTCACAGGCCAGAACAGAACAGGGCTGAAGGGTTCAGCCAACCTGCTTATATAGAGCTCAACTACAAAGCAACAGTAACAACTTTCTGTAACTATCCAATCACTGAACGTCACTTTCAGTTCCTTATTTGCCTATACGGACCTGAGTGAAAGCTATCTAGAGTATCCCCCTGCTGTCCCAGGGTGAGAACTTCAGTACATAACACCCCTCCCCACCGAGATAAGGCGTTAGTACCAAACGTGATGGCTGCCTTATATACAACACTACATGTAATGGTTCAATTAGGCACAAAAGCATATCGGTTACATTTCACATACTTCCATTAGACCGACAGTGTTACATGTCCAACGACATAGTCCTTTAAATAAGTTGGGCGCTTGGAAACTCTGCCAGACAGCCGAGGACTGGTACCCAGGTCCAGGGGTCTGCCCGATTCTTGCTGAGGCTGTGGTGCGACCCTAGGTTGCATTGAAACCATGTCCCCTGGATCCGCTGCTGTGGGTGGAACCTACGCAAGTGGAGTTGGCGGAATGTCAGGCACAGCAGTGGTCTGAGTCTGTGGGGAGTCCAGCAGACCCTCTGAAGCGGCTTGGTTCATCTCCATGCCCACAGTTTGCAAGTAAGTGGAGCCTCGCCATCTGTAAGCATCTGTTCCGGAGCCACGAGCGTGGTTGGGGGCACTGTGGTAGTGTCCAAATCCCCAACCCTGTGCCTAAGCTGGTCTTGTGGATCTCCTGGGCGGAGCGTTCAGCAGCTTCCAAGGCCGTGGCCTCCTCAGTGGGTTTCTGCAGCATGAGGTCTGGCTTGGCGAGGAGATGCCATTGCAGACGGATGTCCCAGACCCTGCAGATGATTCAATCCATCAGGGCATCGTCTAAGTCTCGGATCTCGCAGTGCATTGCAGCCTGTCGGAGGGCGGAGGTCAGTTGTTAATTGACTCCCCCTCTGCCTGGTTCCTGTGGTAGTACACATGGCGGGCAGCAATCTTGGATGGCTTCGGCGTGTAGTGGTTGCAGAGCTTCTCTTGAACCACGTCCCACAGCGCTGCCTGGACTGCTAGTGGTGCAACCAAAACTCGAGCTGTCTCAAACACCTTGGGCCCATAGAGGCTGAGGAATAGGCCCCGCTTACAGTCCTCTGACCTTTCCGTCAGCTTGTTTGCTTGGAGGTAGCAGTCGAACCAGCGAGGTAGGCGTCCCATGATTCAGAGGCTGGGGCAAAAGGCAGTAGAGGCACGAGTGAAGCCATGGTTCTGATGCCGACATGGAGGGTGATGGATGGAACACCGTGCTCTAGCCAGAATGGTCAGCTCTGAATTGGTTCTGTTCAGTGATTTCGCTCAGTGTTTCAGCTCAGTGATTCAGCTCATCTCAGAGGGTGGCCGCGTCAGGCTGTGTTCTGTTGTCCATCAATCCCATCTTCGTCACCAGTGTTAAGTTGTGGGTGAGCATATCAGACGACACAGCAATTCTTCAGACAGCTCTTGTATATTCACAGGCCAGAACAGAACAGGGCTGAAGGGTTCAGCCAGCCTGCTTATATAGAGCTCAACTACATGGCAACAGTAACAACTTTCTGTAACTATCCAATCACTGAACGTCACTTTCAAATCCTTATTTGCATATGCGGACCTGAGTGAAAACTATCCCTGCTGGCCCAGGGTGAGAACTTCAGTACATAACACTATCAATCCTAGTAAGAAAGTTTCTGGGTTTTTAACAAAAGTTATTTTAAACATTTTCTTCAACTCATTATAGAACATTTCCCAGAAGCTTTTAATAACCTTACATTCCCACCACATATGATAGAACGTACTGTTGGGATACTGCCAGGGAGACAAAGACCATCATGCCCCCATGCCGTCTCTGGACGATCCATCAACCTCCCGTAGAAACGCAGGATCAGTCAATTAGCGACACAAGCATCAGAAACATCTTTCCACATTCCAAGGGCTGTGCACGCCCTTTGCAGAGTTCGCACAACGAAAGATGCACTCAGGAGAGCATTATTTACAACTTTATTCAGCGTTGGTCAGAACAAAGAAAAAAACATGACTGCCTGCTTCGATGTCCAGGCACAGAGAGAGGAAACAAAAGCTGTATACAAAAACAGAAACATCCTGTGAACCGGAAATATGCAGGCTGTAACACAATAACCTGCTCCCTTCTTAAGGTGGAACGGAAATATCCTAACATCCTCCCCCTTTCCGTGTAACCTGTAGTACCTGTGGTTCAACCCAATTGCAACCTCTGTACGTAAACCTTAAGTTGTTCTCTGTGAACAACCTTAGACAACAGATCAGCAGGAATTTCATTTCCTGGCATGTAGGACACCTGAATGAGTCCTTTCTGAATACACTCTCTTGCACGATGTAGCTTAATCTGCAAGTACTTGGTTCTTTGCTTGCAACTCTCTGAGTTCAGCAAAGTCAAACAGGATCTATTGTCTTGATACACTTGTATAGGACATTTCACAGAAACTCTGATGTCCTTAAACAGTTGCATCAACCATTCACAATCCATGAGTGAAAATGACAGAGCATTGAGTTCTGCTTCACAGGAACTTAGGCTTACTGTCGTTTGCTTCTTGCACAGCCAGTCAAACAGACAGTGGTTGTACATGTAGCATACTCCAGAAGTGCTTGTACCATCCGTGGTGTCACTTCCAAAACTAGCATCTGCAAAGATTTCAAGACCTCCAGTCTTCTGACTGGTGAACCTCAGCCTGTAGTGCAAAGTCCCTTTCAAATAGCGGGCTATGCGCTTCAGAGCTTTCCAATCCTGAACAGTAGGATTGTTAGCATGTCTGCTAAGCAGGTTAGTGCTTACAGCTATGTCAGGTCTTGAACATCTAGCAATGAAATTCAGCTTGCCTAGAATGCATCTGTACAGCGTAGTGTCAGAAAACGCTTCAGCAGTACTATCTACCTGGTAACCTGTCACCATCAGTGTGTCTGCTGGGTTTGCATCAACCAAATTCAACCTGGTTAATACATCAGCAATTTTCTGTGTTTGGTGTACCAGAAAATTACCTGCTTGATCCCTCTCCACCTGCAGAGAAAGATAGTTGGATACCTCACCAAGATCCTTCATGTCAAAGTGCTCCTTCAGCTGAGCTAGGGTGCTTTGGTACAAAGCCTGATTCTTCCAAAACATCAGAAGATCATCAACAAAACATAAACAATACAGTTTGTTTTGCCCCTCCTCCTTGACAAATACACATGGATCAGCTTTGCCCTGGTGAAAACCTAGAGAAAGCAATGTCTCAGTGAGTTTTGTGTTCCAACACCTGGCACTCTGCTTGAGACCATATAAGGATTTCCAAAGTTTACAGACCATTCCCTTCTGTATCTGCATCCCGTCAGGTGGAAGCATATACAGCTCCTCCCCCAAAACCCTGTACAAAAAAGCTGTATTAATGTCGTGATGGGAAACGTGCAGTTTCTCCTCTGCAGCAATCCTGAGCATTAGCCGAATGCTCTCATACTTGACGGTGGGTGAGTAGGTCTCGTGGTAAACCTGTCCTGGTACCTGTGAAAAACCTCTGGCAACCAATCTGGCTTTGTGTCTGACAACCTTGCCATTCTGGTCTGTCTTGGCCTTGAAGACCCATTTGCTGCCAACCAGTATCATTCCTGGGACTACCGGTACCAGCTCCCAAGTTTGGTTCCTATTCAAGAAATCAACTTCAGCCTTCATGGCATTAAGCCAAGGCTCAGCATCTTTAGAGGTTAACTCCTATGGACTTCCGGGGTGGCGCTATCGGTAATGGCTGCTTCCCTCTGATTCGGAGGGAACCGGCTCTACGGAAATTGGGTCTGTACCGCTACGGCGCAGCGGGGACCCCCCAAAAAAAATCACAGGCGGGTGAAGCCTGTGACCGTGGGACTCAGCGGGCACCGTTTGCGCCCCCCCAATTGCAAAAGGAGCTTGGCAACGGGCTCCGGAGCGGAGCAGGGGTGGCGTGGTGCTGTGAGCCAAGTGCGTCTTCCGTGGAGCGAAGCCGCGAAGCTGTTACCGGAGAACGCTGCCTTTTTTCTGGGACAATTGGACTTTGAAAACAACTACCCGTGAGTAGGATTAAATTGGATTCAAAAGGGAAAAAAATGTCTAATTTGGTACTGAGCGGGAAGGTACAACCAGGAAGTCTGCCTTCCTTTCATTGTAAATAGATCAAAGCAAAGAGACTCTAAAGCGGAAACATAGAAAGTTGCTTGAAAAAGAGCTAAATCTTAACATCTGGAAAGTGGCCCCCCCTCCGGATTGCAGGAGAGGAGGGGGAAAAGACTGAGCTGAATTTACCTGCAAAAAATAAGAGGGAAAAGGAAGCTAAAATTTATTGTTTAAAACCTGGAACGGGCTGCCTTGAGACAAGGGTTGCATAGTGGAAAGCTTATTTTTGACAGCTAATTCTGCAAAAGGGATACAGTGTTTCTCGACTTCTTCTGGCTTGAAAGTAACTGTTTAAGTGCACTGAGACTGTTGTTTTTAAAGTGAATTGGGGGACTTATAAAGACTATTTTTGTTCTTAAAAGTTGCAAGTTCTGGCTGTTACTGTGTCCCCCTAGAGGAAGCTGGACTTTGTTACAATAACAACTAGCTTAGAGGAAAATTCCACTCTATTCCAAAACAATTGTTTAACTGTGGGAGCGACCTTGAATTTCCATGAGACTGTTATGGCAGATGGGAAAGGGAAGATAGAGTTGTTGCAGGAAAAAACTACTAGGTCTGGCAGACATTATCGGATAGACACTACGCAGCCGCGAAGGGGTTCAACATCTGGAGCATCTGGAACATCAGGGGCCGTACTCCCACAGGTCAAACCAAAAGTTATGTCGTCGGAAGAAGTTTTGGCACAGGCACTTGCAAAAATTAATGAATCTTTGGAAAGTTTAAGTAAACAGGTAGCTGAGACAAACAGACAAGTAGCTGAGACAAATAAACAAGTTGCAGAAGCATCAAGCAAAATTGATTTAAATACTGCAAGTATTAATATCTTGGGGCAGAAGGTGAATACCAACACAGAGACCATTGAAAAATTACTACAGGAATCTGCCTCGACTCGAAAGACAGCTGAGGAGGCAAAAGACATTGCAACCGCTACTCAAGAGAAGATTCCACCAGTATATAAGAAATTGGAGGACCATGATGTGACATTCTCCATGATTGAATTGAAAGACAGACAAAGAAATTTAAGAATCAGGGCCGTACCAGAACGGGAGGAAGATAACCTGGCTGATTTTCTTACACAGGAATTCATAGATTTTTGGCAACCGGATTTGGGGAAGGAAGAATTTAAGATAGTGAATGCATTTAGACTTGGAAGAAGACAAAACAAGAAGGTGAGAGACTGTTTGATTACTTTTCGAACAAAAGAAGAGAGAGATAAAATTCTGAATTTGCACTGTCAAAAGACTTTGGAAATTGACGATTCAAGTGTGGTGATATTTAAGGACATTCCAAAGCATCTGCTGGACTTAAGGTTCAAATACGGAAATCTAGTGGCCCTGTTGAAAAGAAATTGATTCTTTTTAGGTGGGAATTTCCTCAAGGCCTGTCCTTTAAATACAAAGGAAGAAAGATAAAAATAAAATCAGTTGATGAAAAAGACAGGTTCTTGAAAGACCACGAGGAAGATCTACAGAAAGAAGTGGAATCTGAAGAAGAGCCAAAAGGCATATTAGACATATCAAATCTATCTTTTGGATTGCACGGCCCAGAAAAAGTGACACTACCCACAGAACAAGAACTGACACTCGGAGCAGTTGGAGGTAAAGTGAAGTAGCCCCATCATGGCTCTGCAACTATTAAGCTGGAATTGTAACGGTTTGAACTCTCCACGAAAGAGAAAAAGTGTGTTTCATTTATTAAAAAAAGAACAATTGGACTTGATTTGTTTACAAGAAACACATATAACAAGGGCACATAGGAAGTTACTGATTAATAAAAGATTGGGACAGGAGTTTGTTTCATCTGACAAAGTAAAAAAAAGAGGAGTTGTGATATATGCAAAGGAGAGACTATCACCGAAATTTATCTTTAAAGACGACCAAGGAAGATTTTTGGCAATTGAAATTCAAGTACAAGGAGAGAAATTTTTGACTGTAGGAATTTATGCACCGAATGAGGGGAAATCTGAATTCTATAAAAAGTTGCATGAGATTTTACTGGATTATCTGGACTACAATTTGATCTCGATGGG